TAGAGCACTAGCCTTGAGCTGAAGAGCTGAGGGACAGCGCCCAGGCCCAGAGTTCAGGCCCCACAACCGGACCCCCCTAAAAAAAAAATAAAACAATCTTAGCATTTAACAGACTGAGGCAGAAGGACTTCAAGTCTAAAAAATAGTCTCATATAATTGTCATCATCATCAAAGTGTTCTTACTCATAGCTCATTCTCTAACACTTGAGTTATGACTCCAATCTGACATTTTGTTGATTAATCGGAAGAGTCTCACAGATTTCTCTGCCTAGGCTGTATTTGAACTTTTTCTCTTCAAGTCTCAGCCTCCTGACTAGCTAGTATTGCAGGAATGAGTCATCAATGCCAGCAATAACAGTAATTCTTAAATATTACACCATTTGAATTATTACCTTTCAGTATAATGCAAACAATTTCCTTTCCTTTCCTTTTCTTATTCTGGTACTGGGGTTTGAACTCAGTGTCTTGATCATGCTATGCTAGTCTAGACAAGTATTCTACCACACACTAATTCACACTAGTCCTGAGTCCAAACCTGGTATTGGAAAATATAAATATAGTACAATTGTGTAAACAGTGTCTGGTTTACACTATGATTCTTGTTTCGTTCCAACTGTCTAACTTTCATTTTTTGTATAATTTATATATGTAAAACTAAAGAAAGGTTTGTTAAAACTGTAAGATTATTTTAAACGGTGGAAAAAATACAAGATCTATATTTCATGTTGCAGGCAGGCCTGCTCTCTCCGTGTGTGTGTGTGTGTGTGTGTGTGTGTCCTAGTGGTGGGAAGTGCAGTGTGAGAGGAGTTTGGGAGGGGCATCGTAGGGGTAGTGCTTTCTGTCCCATTGATAACAGTTCATTCACTGGGAAGCAGCTAAAACAGGCTAATCGCTTATTCAGTCTTTCCCGCTACGCTAATCAAGTTCTGCCACCTCGCCCAGAACTCGGTAAGTTCAAAGAGCAGTAAAAGTGAACGCTTCCGAAATTTAATCGGAGATGATTTTGTAGGCCATTTATTGGAAGTGGGGAGGGGGGAGGGTTTGGAAGTGGTAATTTGCAAACATCCTCGTGCTTGGGGAAAGAAATCTCCAAAGCACAAGTGATTCTTTTCAAATACCTATTTTGTTTCTTAAAACAGTGAACTGGAAAGCTCTTTAGAAAAGCCCCTCTTAGACTGCGGCTGCCCATGGGAAAAGTGGGTTTGCAGAAAGCTCCGGGGAGGGAGTTCGCAGGCTCCGGGCCAGGGACGAAGGGCTTCTTGGGGGGCGTGGAGGTGGGGAACCCGGTGGATTCAATCTCTGTGCCATCATCCGCAGATCCGGGGATGCTCCTGGCCTGGCGTGGCCTGCCCTGAAAGCACCCAGGAAATTCCAGAAGCGTGGATGCAGACCCCGCGGGCCATGTGTCCCCCGAGCGCGCGAGCGGGACTCTCCTTGCGGCTGCTGCTGCTGCTGGCGGCCGGCTGCCTCCTCGCGGAGGCCCGGAGAGACAAGGGGGCAGCGGGCAGCCCGCTGCAATCGTCCTCCAGCCCGGGGGCGGGCGGTTCCTCGGGTCGCTTCGTGAGCCCGGAGCAACACGCGTGCAGCTGGCAGCTCCTGCTGCCGGGCCCCGGAGCCAAAGCCAGCAGCGAGCTGGCTCTGCGCTGCCAGGGCCCGGACGGGGCGCGCCAGCAATGCGCCTTCCGCGGGGAGCCCGAGCGCTGCGCCGCCTACGGAGCCCGCCGCCCGCACTTCTGGAAGCAGGTGATGGGCGCGCTGCGCAAGAGGGGGCGGCCTTGCCTCGACCCCACTCCCCTCCACGCCCGCGTGTGCGCCGGAAAGAAGGGCCGGGGTGCCGAGCTGCGCCTGGTCACCCGCTCCACCCCGCCCGCCGGCCTCACTACCGCAATCCCGCGCCTGCCCGGGGAGCCCAGGCTCAAGGCCAGGAGCCGGGGGCGACCCCGGCAGCTCGCTCCCGGCCCCGACGCCCCGGCCCCGCCTTCCCCGAGCGTGCCACCCCGAGAAAAACCTTCCGAGCGGAAGATCAAAGGGGGCAAGAGGAAGATGGCCTCGGATCCCGGGCAGGAGCGACCCATGGCCACGGGGCCCGACCCCGATGGGCTGGCGGAGAACGCCGAGCTCACCCAGACCTACTGCGCCGAGAAGTGGCACTCGCTCTGCAACTTTTTTGTCAATTTTTGGAACGGTTGAGGCTGCGATCTGGAAGGGACTGGGGGGTAGGAGCGCTGGAGAGGAGGGGGTGGGTGCGCCCAGGGAGGGCAGGCTCGGGGAATCTTAGAACCCAAGCGGTCCTGGATAGCAAGGGGAGAGGAGTCCAGATTCTAGGATGGGCAAGGGGGAGGGAAGGGGTGGATAGGGTGAAAGTCTAGCGGGGTCTGGAGAATAAGGCAAAGCAGTTAAAAATATTGAAGCGTCCCAGTTCTGATTAGAAGCAGACTAGTGGAAACAGAAATAGGCATGGCCTTGTGCAAAAACTGTAGACTCTACAGAGAGACAGGTCCAAAGAAAGACTGAGAAAAATCGTTAGCAGTAGGTGACCTGAGCAATGTCTTCTCACCAATTCAATTGGCAAAGTGACAGGCCTGGTTTTTTGTTTTGTTTTGTTTTCCTTTTCCAAATTGGTATGAACATAGGTACAGCTTGGTGTCACAGGAAACATCTGTGGAACTAGAAACCTTGTAAGCCAAAAGTGAAATCTAAGAAAATATAGTCATGTAATTGTTACATTTTATGGAATGATATCTGATTTTTTTATTTTTATTTTTTGCTGGTGCTGGGGCTTGAACTCAGGGTCTGGGATCTGTTGCTGAGCCTCTCTATGCTCAAGGCTAGCACTCTACCACTTGAGCTACAGCACCACTTCTGGCTTTTTCTGAGTCATTTATTGGAGATAAGAATCCCATGGACTTTCCTGCCTAAGCTGGTTTTGAACTGCATTCCTCAGATCTCAGCCTCCTCAGTAGCTAGAATTACAGGCAAGAGCCTCTGGCATCCAACTCTACCTAACATTTTCAACTTTCTAAATTCAGAAGTGAATTGTAAAAGTGCCTTGTGAATCCTTTTAAAATAAACAAACTTCTTTATAATTGATCCTTCTTCAAAACCAGCTAAAATATAATATGTATCCCAGTCATTTTGACCGCTATGTCTCATGTACTTAACTGTTGATTTCATTTTTAATGTGATTGACTTTGTACTTGTTAAGTACTCAATAAAAACTTCACTCTAGATATAAATAACTGTAAAGGCAGTGGGAATTGTCCCTGTCTTTGATCTACTTCCAAGTACTTTTTTTTTTCCTGTCATAGGGCTTGAACTCAGGGCCTGGGTGCTCTCCTTGAGCTCTTTATGCTCAAGGCTAGTGCTCTACCACCTTGAACCACATTCAGTTTTCTGGTAAAAACTCACTTTCCTGCACAAGTTGGCTCTGAACTGTGATTCTCAGATCTCTGCCTCCTGAGTAGCCCCCCCACCCCCATACTTCTAAGTACTTCTAAGTAAGGTGTTTATATTTTGAGATAGGGTCTCTCTCTGTAGTCCAAGCTGGCCTTGAGCCCTATCCTCTTGCCTCCATCTCCAAAGTGCTGTGATTACAGGTGTGTACCACCATATCCAACTTGAATCAAGTTGCTTGTAGTACTGGGGATTGAACCTGGGGCTTGGAGCCAGTGTTCTACCCCCTGAGCTAAGCCCCCATTCCTGAATTAAGTTATTAAATACACTTGGAATTGTTAGAAGGATAAATGAGTAGGAAGGGCTTTAGCTCTGTAAAGCTTTGAGAAAATTTCAAACATGTCAATGGAGAGCCCTAGCAGTTAGCTCAAGGTCTCAAACTCTTGCTTAGCTTGTGGTGTGTGTGTGTGTGTGTGTGTGTGTGTGTGTGTTCATGCCAGTACTGGAGTTTGAACTCAGGACTTGAGCACTATCCATTAGCTTTTGGGCTCAAGGTTAGAGCCTTGAGCCACAACTCTACTTCTGGCTTTTTTTGTGGTTAATTGGTGACAAGAATCTCACAAACTGCCTGGCTGGCTTCAAATCGTGATCCTCAGATCTCATTCTCCTGAATAGGTAGGATTATAGTCATGAGTTACCAGCACCCAGCTCCTGTGGTGGATTCTGACGATGCTGCTGCTGGACATGGTTAGCTAACTACACCCCTCACAGCAGATGCTCACTAAAGGAGAAGTGAGCAATTCACTCCCACAGTTGCTATAAAAGATTAACTTTTGGCTGATGTATTAGTTGGGTGTTTTCTCCCACTATCCTTAAAATGTATTACAACCAAAGCTAATAGATGTATAGGCAATGGATTCAACTCTTGTTTTTACCACTAATCACTATATAAATTTCATCTCTCTAAGTCTGGTACTTTTCCCAAAGGGTTGTTAGAGCATTAAATGTCATGCTTAAATAAAGCTCATGTGCAGGCCACCATACTGTTGAGCCTATAATAAATAAATATACGGTTAGTGTTCTCAGTATTTTGAGTACCAGTGCAAGCCCCCAACAGGGACTTTCAGTATTAAAGGGCATTTGCACAAAATCAGCAGCAGCTTTCCATCTCAGTGGGCAACAACGTAAAGGCAGAAGCAAGAGATAGGGATGCAGCTCAAGGGTAGAATACATGCTTAGCATATTCAAGGCCCTGGGTTCTTTCTCCAGCAGAAGAGAAAGAGGGAGAGACACACACAGACACAGAGACACAGAGAGGAGGAGGATAAAAGGAAAAGAGAGAGAGGGGAAAAAAAGGAAAAATGAAAGAAGAAAAAGGATGAAAGGAAGGGAAGTGAGGGAGGCAGAATGGCAGGAAAGAGGGAGGGAAGGAAGGAAAATATTAAAAGAAGCTGGGCACTGGTGGCTTACTTCTGTAATCTTAGCTACTTAGGAGTCTGAGTCATCCTAGGCAGATAAATGCATATTACTTTTGTTGGTGGTGGTGGTGGTAGTGGTTGTAGTGCTTGAACTCTGGGCCTGGGTGCTTTCCCTCAGCTCTTCAGCTCAAGGCTAGCGCTCTACCACTTGAGCCACAGTGCCACTTCTACCTTTTTCTGGTTATGTGGTGCTGAGAAATCAAACCCAAGGCCTCATACATGCAAGGCAAGCACCCTACCACTGAGCCACCTTCCCAGCCCCTCCATATTATTCTTATCCCAAATTAACTAGCAAAAAGCCAGAATTAGGGCTGTGGCTGAAGTGGTAGAGCCTTGAGCAATAAAGCTAAAGGATAACACATAGACACTAAGTTCAAACTGTAAGGTCCGCTCCTGCTCCTGGAAGGCTAACAGACTCCACCCTCCTCGCAGCAAAGTCTCCACCCAGTACCTGCGTTACCTAGGCAACTGGGACACCTGGAAGAGGTCACATCTGCATCCGCTGAGGTCACATCTGAATTTGATGTGACCACACCTTTCTCCCCCCATACCCTAGATAAGGCCTAGCCCAGGCCCAGACGCAGAGCCTCTCTCTGCTCTTCTCTAGTTCTTTTCTCCCTTTTTCCTCTCTCTTTCCCAGCTCTTTCTCTTTCCCAGGCCTTTCCCAGCCACGTGGAGTGCCAACCTTGCCTGGTCCCAGCAGGTCTACTGAATAAACCTACCCCTTACCTGAATACCACATGCATGATGCTAACACAATCCCCAGTATTTGTGCATGTGCACATGCATATGCACACATGCACGCATGTGTACACACACACACACACAAGGGAATTTTGTGACCATGAGAGCAGTACTCACATCCTTGAAGTGGAAATGCTAGCCACTTGTGAGGAATTTAAAAGGCAAATGTTTCTGTCCAGAGTTCATATGTAGTCTTAGAGGCTAGAGGACCACACCTGACTTCCCAGCTTCTTACTTTAAAAAATAACTGCCTTTAGTTCTTGCCTACTGCTTTACATCTGCGGGGCTTTGATGAACTTATCCAAGTTTTGTCCTTCCTGTGACCTTTGGTTCATCACACTCAAATTTTGTCCCTTTTCAAAATTTCAAAGCAACCAGAAAATACACTAAAGTCTTCCCTTTTTAAAAGGAAGAAGCTGACTTTGGCTAGATTAAAATGATTGGGGGCAGAAGAATTCAGTGAAAGAGGGAATACCTCGCATGCACAGTGCTCTCTCTGGGTTAATCCCCAGCACCACATTAAAAAAAAGCAAAACTGAATGGCTATCATATATAGACAACAAGCAGTTAGACAATACAATGGAAGTTAACATTACTAATAGCAACACAAAGTAAAAGAATTCACAAGGAGAAGACTCAAGAGGAAATATGGGAGAGCTAACACAGATACTTTTGAGAGTAGAAAAGAAAGACTCAAAATGAAACCATGTGGTTATTTTTATTAGAAAAGAGAGCTTCCATATTTTAAAAATGTGTCCATTTAAACAGGATTATAATTAAACTGTCAGACTTTGGGAGTGTAGGAATTAGACAAACTGATTGTAAAGTTCCAATGGAAAATCAAAATGCAGGAGGGATGCAAGTTCGGATGTTTCAGAGAAAGACCGAAAGACAGAGAGAGAAGGAGAGAAGAAAGATGCTTTCATTAAGGGATTTGACTTGAAATGACTAAAAACAGTCTCCCAAAGGAATGTTGGCAGCTTGGCACAAAACAATGTAAATACTGTGTGGCAGGGGTGGAGGGGAGGGTTGTTTCTAGGTAACCACAGGGACTCCCTGTAAAAACCTGAAGCTTCAGAGCCCACCAGCATTTCAGCTGACAGTGGCCGCCTTTGAGCTGGGTGGTCATGTGATTTTGGTGGAGCTGAAGACCCTAGACCTTTGATCCATATGTCTTTTTTGTTCTCAGGCACAATGATTACAATAAGGATGATTCTTCTTCACACCAAGACAGGCATAGGATGCTGGTGCATTGATTTGAAGATGTGGGAGAGAGGTGAAGGGGAACTGCCAGTGTGGGATCCCCAGAAGGGCGAGGCATCAAAGTTTAGGCTTAGCCATGGGCTGGATAAGAATTGCTTCACAGTCCAAGTTGTCTACTTGTGGATATGAAACTAGACCAGTGCATCTCGTGGAAATGTTTTAAGGAGATGAGAGCGGGTAAGGGAGAGGGATAGAGGGAGTTGAGTTGAATTGGGATACATTTGATACATGTATAGAAATGTCACAATGAAATCCTCCTTGTACAATTAATGAATGCAAGCGAAAAGAAAAAACTAATAAGAGAGATTGTGTACTCA